AGACCTCCATTATTTGAATGTCAGCAGACAGCAAGAAGCCTCCCAGATCTCCAGATGCATTTGAGATATCAAAAAAGTACTCCAGAGTTTTGTTCAGCATGGAGGTGAGTAGAAAATGAAGGCTAATCATGTTTTGGGTGTACTATTCCTTTAAGTCTTCATACGTTATACAATCACCCCCAACAAAAATACATGAAGCTGTTGATGTAAGAAAAGCTCCTTCACTGTTAGACTGTTGCAAACTAAATGCACCAGCAAGCGTTATCAGAGATCTTTCCTCCCAGCAGCTGTAAGACTCTATAACATTCACTGTTCCCAACAACCTCAATAAGTTGTTACATTCATGCAGATTTTTGCACAGTTTCAATCTTAAGACGGGCATACACTGTATAATTTTTTTGCCCTTTTCGGGCCAATTCTCCAGTCGTGTTAGAAGTTTTTTGATCGGGCCTACTTTCAGCCTGATAGTGTGTCATGTAGCTTACAAGGGGTAACGAGGGCCGATTAGCAGTGGTGTGAAAAGTACACACATTTGTTACTTAAGTAGAAGTATAAATACTGCAGTTTAAAAACATTCTCGTAAAAGTTGAAGTATCAACTTTACGTCTTTACTCAAGTAAAAGTAAAAAAGTATGTGCTCCAAAAACTACCTAAAGTATAAAAGTATAAAGTAACCTTAAAAAAAAAAACAGCCAGATGCCACTATATGAATTGAAAGCTAAATTTTTCAACTATTTTGAAAAATTCTTTGAGATAGGGCCAAGGATGAGGGAGGTCTCCTGATACGCTCTCGCCTGTGGCATAGACAATTTGCTTTTGCAGTTTGAAGAACACCTGCTTGCTTCTGATGATTTCCTTTAGCTAACGATTGAGTGTTTGTGTTATATGACTCATCCAATTACTCTAGTTTTCACTAGATGTGGATGGAGCCAATGATCTGCATTGGATGGCGCACATGACGTGAAATAAATATTTATAAACATAAAACTGGAGCCAAGATTAACGTTTGTTTTAAAAGTGTATGGAATAGAAAGAATAGATATTTGTGTGAAAATGTAATGAGTAGAAGTCAGAAGTAGGAAGAACAATAAGTAATGGAGTTTAAAGTATAGATACCTAAAAATGTACTTAAGTACAGTAATGAAGTACAAATGCTTTGTTACTTGACACCTCTGCCGATTAGCCTCTCACGACCACCTCCTGATCAGGAATCGTGAGGTCAGAATCCTGCTGTTGAATCAGAGCTACAAGCCGATTTACCATAACTTCGAGCACTGTGAATATGCAAAGTTCTTCTTCTTTCTCTTCTTCAAGATTGACAAAGCCGACCAGCGCCATCTCTCGACGCTGAGTCTGACGTGCACATTTTGCACATCTCTGATGTTGCTGCTATCTTTAAAATGTCCATTACTTTAAAAATGTCCACAGCTTTATATTGGTCATTTATTTTCCAGGTGCACAGTATTTATATTGATAAAACATTTTACAGTACAGTATTTTATTCTTTTATTTTTTTACTCTTCACTAATATTTTATTTCTAACACATTTGTGATCATATTTTTCTGTAATCTTTTTGCTGCTGTAACACCAGAATTTCCCCGTTGTGGGACAATAAAGATATTTTCTATTCTATTCTATTCTATTATAGAGCCGGCTTTGATTATGATGTCAGTTTTTAATTAATTTATAATCATAGTATCTGATTTTGCTGGTGGAATTCCTGAATTAGCTTTGATGTAATTTGTGGATTAAAACAATTAAAATAAAGGCAGTTATTTTATGTTTTGAGTGCAGAAATGCAAAAAATTACAGTGAATTAAGTCCTGCAATTATGTTGTGATTTTTTCATACCACTGTTAAGAGAATTGGCATTAAACGTAACAATTTGTGAGTGTTACTGAGGGGAAAAAAAAGACAAAAGTTGCATGGAGGCCTGAAGGGAACTTGAACTTGAGCGAAGTCTGAGCAAACTTGGACACTGTGCCTTTAAGAAGCCCCCACCGTCTCATAACAGGGGGGGCGTGAGCTGAATCCAGGAACAGCGATTGAAAAAAAAAAAAAGCTCCACCACTGGACTGTTTCAAGTTCCCCCCTCCGGCTGAAACCCTGCCTGATTTGTGGGCAATGTTGGGGATGTAGAAGAAAAAAAAAAAAAAAAAAAAGGAAACCGGAGCAAAGAGAGCGTAAGGAAGGGAGAGATAGGGAGACAACACTAACTGGGTAGCTATGGAGATAGTAGGTTATCCTGGTCGCTTTCTTTGACAGGTGTCGAGTGGGATAAAATAAAGTCCGAGAACAGCCTCCAAGATGTACGGCAAGGGTAAAGGAGCTGTGGTCCCCTCCGATAGCCAAGCGAGAGAAAAGTGAGTAAATTATCGCAGTGTCACAACAGCCAGTGAAGAGAGGAGTGTGCTAGCTGGCTAAACTTGCTAACTGATGTAAAGCTGTTCACCAACTTCAGACTCCATGCATAAGTTGCTGCTTTAACTTTTAACGGCTGCTGCACGTGAAGCTGAGCTAGTTGGTGTTTTTGCTTCTTCTTTCGTGTGTTTTTGGAGCTCCTTCTCGTCTCTCCTCCTGCATCATCCAACTTGCAGGCATGTGTGCTAAGTTAGCCCCAGCAGCTAGCTCCACAGCCACTGTCACTCCTGCTCTTTAATTGTTTTGTTGCTCTTGTACAGCTCAAACACTCTGGTAAAGTTGCACCACTTTTCTTTCTTTTTTTTTTGTACACGTGTGCGCGCGCGCTTATTAAATGCTATAAAGAGCGTGGATGTGTCCCACTCGAGTTCCTTCTCCCCCCCACACCCCACTATGGGGAACAATACATTTGGAGTTATTGTTGCTGCGCATTAGTATTGGATCTAGCTGCCTTTTATTGTGTGGGTTAAAAATAGGATCCAGCTGTTTTGAGTGGGCTTTGTTACAAACTAGCGTGTTCGTGGCTTGTTCGCAGAGTAGATGCGAGTCTGATCGCGCTGGGTTGCATTGTATCCACGCGTGTTTTCGTCCCGCTTTGTAACTTTTGTGCCCCCCTCCCTCCTTCCTCCTATCAGTGCAGACCTCCTGACAACCAGAGCTGTGCAAAGCTCTCCATTCTGCAGCCCGGAATAGGGGCTGATCTGAGGGGTCTTTGCAAGGCAAGGGTAGCTGCAGCCCCCCTTTTCTCTCAGCCCCTTTGTCTTGCATGCCTCAGTCTCGCCCAGAAGATACGTGCAGGTTCCCCCTTTTCAACACTTCAACAAGATGAATTGCTCACAAGTTGACCTTAAATATTATTAATTAAATAATCAGCTGTGCATTAGCAGCCAATCAGGATCCACTAACCTGGATCCACTTCCTTTTCCAGTCAGCCATAACCATACTTATCCCTCAATGACTGCTGTTAAACTTTGTGTTGCCCCAACTTTTACTCAATGCAGGTGGAACTGAGAGTTTGCATGCCAATCAACGAGCACCTCCATTTAATTTATGACTTTTTATTCTTTAAGTATTCTTGTTTTCCTCAAAGCTCTTCCTCCTCTCTGTCTTCATCTTGCTTCCCTGCACCTCATCCCTCACATTGCTGTTGAATTATTGAGACAGACCGAAGCAGCTGCTCTCAGCTTTGCATCAAGAGCTGAGAGGGAGGGAGAGCGAGCTGGAGAAAAGAAAAGTGAGATGTGGTGGGCCGACTCATCCATGTTTAAAGAGGGGGTTTTGTCGCGAGCCCCTGGGCGAGATGTCAGATCTACTGATGGTGCACACCGTGGGGGGAAATTTCACTCTCTGTGGAAGTTGGTGCATGCATTGCTCCCTGTCCCTGGAAGTTTTGAGGGAGAAAGGAGAGGGAGCGAAAAAGCAAAAACATTTAAACTTTGCAACCCTTTGCACTTTCCTATGTTCTACTACTTTATTTCTGCACTTTTAAACCCGGCTTGCTGCTTCGCTTTCTGCACATCTTGCAGAAAGTGAATTTTTCTCCTCTCTTCCACTGCTGTTGTGGCTCATCTCCTCAAACTTCTCCTCCTTTTCAAAGAGCCAGCTCCTGAGCTTTAATAATGCAGCAGGCCAGGTGCGTGCACAAGCAGCCCCTTATACAAGGAGCACACCGACGATGCCACACATGAAATTTTCATTGACAGTCTCATGAAGGATTGGAGGGTATCTGCAGCATGATCCTGTTTTCCTCCAAACACAAGAATGAAGTCCTTAAACATTTCCTACTGCAGGTCAAACTCCCCTCTAAGGATGCTCATGTATCAAGCTAACCCATAATCCTGGTCTGTGCAGGGAGGTAGTATCAATACTTGAAGCTTTTACTGTATCGTCAGGCTTCCTGTGAGCTTTTGCCGGACATTTAAAAAAATTCCCCCAAATCGCTTTAAACCTATAGGTGTTTAAGTCAGATTGAAAACCGGTGTGTAATGTCAGTGCGTGCTTTGTAGGTAACTAATGTGTGCGCAGGCTTCAGCCGGACTGACCTGCAAGTGGCAGTGACTTACACTCTACACCAGCGGTCAAAGAGAGCTCTGTGACCTACAAATTGCTGGAAACCTCAGAAAGTGGTCAGATTCCCCCGGCTGCAGTGGTCAAGTTTTTGTGTCTCAGCAGAAGAGGAAGTCTCCATCCTCTTGGGTTTATTGGTCATTTTTTTAATAACTGCATTTAGGAGCTATGGTTTGTGTTTTCATTGGGTGCCTCAAACTAGTTATGATGATTTTCAAATTAGCTTTTGAAAGTTTAAGTTTAAGTTCAGAATTCAAAGCAGCTTCTTTTTTTCTTTGGTTGCCTCTAAGTTTGCCTGTTTATACATTTATTCTGCAGTTTTAGCATTGCAGTGATCCATATGTGACACAAACACAGTTTTAAACTTAAACTAAACCTCAGTTTCTCAAAGTATTTGAACGTTATCTGGTGGATATCTGATTCTTTGATTTAAAGAGCTACTAATGTGAGTTTATCTTTAAGAAGGATAAACAAAATATCCAATGTTAGCCTCCTAAGTGAGAAGCATGTCTTAAACGTGGGTTGGGGGGTTGGACGGCTGAGATATCATCCTGTTGGAATCACCGGCTCAGTGTTTGCCTATTCATATCTTCTGCAGACTACATTTGCATACTAACAATGTATTTGCATACTATTGGTAGTAAGTACGGGTCAGGCTTGGGTCGTATGTGTTCTAACGCTCTGGAGCGATGTTCATTTCTCCTCCTATGTAGCATCATCAATCAGCAGTCATCTCATAAAGCTTCACCTGGAGCCTCAGAGAACCATTGTCTTACTGTAACACAGCAGACCGTTATTTAACCTTTTTTAAAGGCCTGTTTTGTGGTGTTTCCATGTTAGTTTTAGTTTTGAGTTTTAAGTTGGAGGAAGTGGTGCACCTGTGAATAGAACGTTGCTTCTCCTGTCAGCTGATGTTGTGATTTGCCTTGCAGATCATATTGCGTTAACGACTCTCTGTTGGAGTTATAAGGTTAAATATGAAAATGGAGCTATATTGCTGCAAAACATGGAGTTGCTTCACCTCAGTGCTGAAGACAATACCTGTTCTCGTGGATATGTTGGTGGGGGATGGCTGAGCATTTCTCTTTCAGATGTGAGTTAGGGTTAAAGATGGAAAATTATAACTCTTTCTCCTCTTTCTCTTTTGTTTGGTTTTATGATTTTTTTATTTTTTTCTAAAGAGGGAGCGACCCTGCTGGGCACAAGAAGGGTAAACATACTAAATAAAGTGATTTATAAGAAGGTTAAACAAGGCCCAACACTGAACTCTATACTAATCTCCTACTTTGAATATCTTAGATGAATAACGTGCTAAAAAACAATGAATTATTTGGTTTTGACCTGATGATAAAAGCTTTTCCAACTCTTTTTCCGTTTTCAACCCTGGATCCATCTTTTTTTTAAACTGTAAATTCTGCTAAATAGCTGTAAAGCTCTTTTAAAAAGTTTGGTAGAAGGACTTTTATGTAAACTTTCTTTAAGAAAACCTGACTGAAGAGCTTCACTTTTTTGACCCACTCTTTACATTCCTTCCTGAAGAATATGAGTCAAAGTTGTAAGCAGGGGTTTAGCTGCAGAGGCAAGGGGAGGGACAACAGTAAAATATTATCATGGTTTCTGTTTTACATCATAAAACAGTCTCAGATTATCTATAATATTAGCATTTTAACAATTAGGTTAGAAACCACAAATTCAAACATTGTCCAGGCTTGCTGTTATTAACTTCCTGTACCACACTTTTTTAGTTTTAAGTGGTCCAAACAAAATGTCAAAGTAAAGCAGTTGACAAGGTTTCTTTCCTGCTGTATAGGGCATAGTGATGAATCGCCCCTTCTTCACCTGTTGCTGCTGCAAACATATTGACTACACTTCTCCCTTTTTTTACTAGGACACCTTTCCCTGAATGCAAACATTTCCAATCATAATAAAATAGGGATAACCTGATAACCATAACCAATAATTTCCCATTTCTGGTAGCTGATAACCAATAATAAGCTGACAGTTGCTTTTGTAAATATCTAAGGTAAACTGATACACAAGTAAACTAAATAACAGTAAATTTGCTTGATTTAACCAAATTCAACTTGCAGCAGTGTTGTTAAAAAAAAATCACCATAAATGGCAAACTCTGACAACTTTCAAACAATGAAAGGCCATTAGAACTGAGAAAATGTGAAATGAAGAGTAACTTGAATACTGCAACATTGCATTTCCTCAAAAAATGGTAAATGAGACGTGCAGGTGATGCAGTGGTTAGCACTCACGACACATGTATGGAGGTCTTAGTCCTTGACGCGGGCGACCTGGGTTCGAATGCAGCCTGTGGTCCTTTCCCGCATTCCTCTCACCCTCTCTTATACCCCCTTTCCTTTCAGCCTACTGTCGAAAAACCGAGCCGCTTTTGGCATAAAAACTCTAAAAAATAAAAATAAAAAAATGGTAATATTAATTGAAAGAATATAGTTTGTCTATCAAATATTGTGCAAGTTTTTACTTTGCTCGGTATGACTAACGTTATACATCCATATGTGCATTATGAAACTATGTGCTTTGCAATTTTTCTTTTTTATCAAGCAGAGAGGGAATGCGTGTTGTTGTATAGCCTGATACATACCTGGTTAACAAGTGTCTGAAAAGTAGCGGCAGCTGGGTACTTCATAACGCGGCTCCAGATAGTGCATTAGCTGCCATTAGCTGCCGAACGCTTAGGTCCTCTACGAAGGAAAACTATTACTTCTGTGATTTATGTCGCTAATCCCTTTAGCTTGTGATCGTTCCTGTTAAACCATTTACAGTCATCATATGTCACGTCAATGGTTATCAGTCCAGTCAGTTTGCAGGGTTAGCGTTACCACAGCTAGCAGTTTCATATGAT